CAACTCGATCAGTGTTTAGTATTCTTGATTCTTTATATTTTGTAGACAGCTTCTTGAATAATTTCAAGAAATCTTCTTCCGATTTAAGAATTTCATCAGCATTTAAGATTTCTCGTTTAGTTAATGATATTTGTTATTCTACGAGAGCATATGCTATGTCTAGCTTTGAAGTTGTGAATCCAACTGTCAGATGCTTGAAAATCATTGCAACCAACTTCTCTTGCACTTTTAAGAGCCCAACATTGAATATCAATATCATGGACTGGAAGATATTGTTCACGTGCATAAACTAATTTTTGATAAACAGATTTATCGATTTCTTGTAGTTTTTGTCGTCTTGTTCCACTGTTTTCTAGATATTTTTTAAATCTGCTAACATAATTTTCATTTGGTAGAGTTCGAAATCGATGTTTAACTGGTTTCCAAGTTCGACGACGTTTTCCTGATTTATCTTCATCATAAGCATAATCCAGCACACGTTGCATGAATTCAAGCGGAAAGTTTGATAAGTCATGTTGTTCTTTCTTTAGATCATCTTCTACTTCATAGTCGCTTCTACTTTCTGATTCACTAGATTCTTCTTCTTCTTCTTCTTCTTTTTCACCATTTCCATTGCTATATTGTTTACAATAAATATCTAATGTTAATTCGTCTTCATATTTAAGTCGTCTACGGTCTCAGGTCGATCATTCCGGCGACTGGATCCGTTGAAATCTGAGTCGATTCCGGCGGCCAGGAAATGGTCGGAAAACGAACCTAACCGGCCGGAACCGGCCGTGCCATAATAACCTGGGATTACATATTGAGATAATGACTTCAGCTAGATGTTCAGCAACTTCACGTTCCTCTTGAGAAGGTTCATTTAATGAATCATCATTCAAATTGATATTCATAATATTTGTTAAACAATATATAATTTTGCTTGGCTTCATTTTTCGAATAGATATAGCAAATTTCCAATAAGAGAAAAAAATTGAAAAGGTTCGATTTTTTTCAATTACTTCGAAGATTGAATTTTACTTTGTAAACTGATATAGACTGGCAGATTACACGAACCAATTGTAAAAATTTCCAAAACTTAACGTTATATATACTGGCTCATTAGATGGCATATATAGTCGTCAGTGTAACGGGATATATTGCTATATTCTGACCTGTATGCAACCTTGACTCGTCGACACTAGCATGACCGCTATACTTGGCTGATATCCATTGTTCTCTGTTGCCTATATAAGCGTGTATCTCATAACTAAACAGGAGCTTGTTACGTGAAGAAGCCAAATANATTTATAGTAGTTAAATGTACGAAGGTTCACCGAGATAAAATTTATCTTCATAAAACCGTATTTTTATGCATGAGGCTAATTAGTGATTTTTAAACAACGTAATAAGTAGCGTTACCATATTCTTTAAACACAATCAAATGAAGTTACGGCTAATGCAGTATATTCACCTTAGACTAAGCACTCAGTATACTAGGTCGTAAAACGAGTAAAAGAGAGACTAGCGAATAGCCAGCTGTATCTTTTGTCAAATGTCAATAACCAAGGAGCCATTTTTTACTCAACATTTATCTCAATAGGATATCAAGAGAATCAGCTAGTATGATGAAACTTTCTATATAATATCACACCAACTAACTCGAATATATAATGCAAAAAAACGGAAGAATGACAATTGTTCGAGAGAGATATAGAAAATTCCGAGAACTTATTGACTACCCTACGTAATTAAAAAATCGATTAACCAGTTGGAAAAGTTCCTTCGTAAGAAAGGACGAAAGAATGCTTTTCATTCAAACTATATAGCCGAACACCGTTTCCCCTTTCTTTCCTCCCTTTCTATCCACGTGGGATTTAATATGTCTCAGGACTCACCCTATTATTCATAGTTATGTTGTTTCTTTTCGTTTGAAATTTAGTTTTACCTACGTTTCACCATTGTTGGCTAAAGCCCATGAATGTCTCAGGCACACGTACTCTTTGTCGAATCTTTATTTCTTGGGAAAAAGATAGAACTACAATCTAAAAATGCGTTACAGAAAAGAAAATTCAATGGATCTTTTATTAAAATATGCACGATTTTCATCACCAATAATAAGACGCACGAAAAAAAAACCGAACAAAACTCGCATAAAAATAGAATTCATATTGTATGAAACGAAAATGAAAATGTTAGAGAGAAGGAGAGAGAGAGAGAAATGTTTGATTCACTTATCTAATTAATCTATAAACACTAAAGCACACAAATTTCAAGAGGGATTTTCATTTGTTTTTCTTTTCAATAGCGATAACTTGAGTATATTCCATATCGACCAGTTAAATTCGTCGATGCAATGTATCTCGACGGTAGGACATGTTCTATGTCACTGTCACTATCATATTTTGTACTATAGACGGAAGTGCTTAGCGGCAATTCATAACTACTAGTATAAGCGGTACGAGTGCGAGTGGGAAGACGTGATGAAACATCATAAGTACGTGTTCGATAACCTAAAATATATCGATATAAGTCGAAAGTATGACTGGAAAGAATCATTTGTCATACTAGAACTGGTATAGGATGGTCGAGATCTTGCTAATTCATGTTCAGCTGATCTTAAACGTGTTTGAGTTTCTTCCAGTTGATTTCTTAATTTGGCGCAAAGTGATAGAGCTGCTTCAGTGATAACTTGTTGAGGAATCAGTTGATTATTTTTACATGCAGCAATGGTTTCTTCCGTTACACGTGAAAAATCAATTTGATTAAGTAATTCTTCTCGTTCTGCATTACTCATTTGTGTCGATTTTTCTGCGAATGACAAAAGAAAGTTTACCGAAAAGTGACAAAGACTATTTACCATTTTTCAGAATATCATCAAGTGCAAGAAGAAGACTATCATGTGAAGTACGCTGATCTTTTGGTATACACGTTGCTAATTTGACAAATTGTTCGCTGGTCAACGTTCCACGTTGACGAAGTTGTTCAACGTACGAATCGATCAATATTGATAACTGAAACAAATCGACTTGAAATTTGAAATGAAAATTCTTCACAATGAGTTACTTTCGCTAATAATTGTGGATCTTTTGTGTGTTCGTCTTTATGTTTACTAACGCGTTCCAGCAATCTTGTCATAACATCATCGGATATATTTTCCATATTATCTTCGATGTCGGACGAATTTAAAAATGATTGTGTAATGAACGATGATAATATCGGTTCACATTCACATTTCAATTCAACAGCCTTTTCATAAACCGAATTATGCCATGATAATGGTAATTGTTCTAATGCATTACCTAATTCTTTGACAATTTGATCGAGTATTGCTCGTTTTTCGTCGGCAGTTTTACTTGGTAATTCTTCCTTTCGTGCAACTGGTGTGAATGCACTTTGATGTTCGCTTGCTTGGTCAGTTGTTGCTGTCGTTGTTGTTGTTTCTGCTGCTGGTGTAGCAGCAGTCGTTGTTGTTGAAGATGGTGGATGATTCTGAGTTGAAGCTTGATCCAAAACATTCGCATTGATATAATGTTTTGCAAATGGAAGAACTGCATTCTTATTGTCACCTGGACATAATTTAATCAATTCAATGATCCATTCAAGTGGTAAACGACTGATAATTTCTCGATCTGATTTGGTTAATTGTGAGCCAGCTCCGAATGATAACGATTCATAGATCGCTTGTAGACATTTGTCAACAATATGAGCTTGTTTCGCCCATTGTTGACATTGGCCGATGCATTGTTCGAGTAAGACTAATGGAATCCCTAGATCGTATTTAATTCGTGCAACGGAAAGTATTTTATCGAAACGTTCGTCAAGCAATGCACCCAATGTCTCACATTCAACGAAACAAGCCGCTGCGCGCAGTGGAACGATGTTTTTATGATCGATGGAAATCGGAATGGAGTAAAAATAATCGGCGAGTTGATTGAAAACATCAACACCGCCTGGAAAATCATTTAATTGAACAACATAAGGTTGCGAACTTGACGATGCAACAGCTTTTTTAAAATAATCACTTTTAGTAAACAATGGAAATGTGTGAAGTTTAAATTCCGTTGAATCGACAACCACCGTTATGTTAGATAATTCACCAGTACGACGAAACTTTTCGTAACTCATTCTCTACGACAAAAAGAAAAGAATCAAGCATGAAATGCTGCTGTTGCGGCTAATGATGTTGACAATGAAGAGAAAAGAAAAAAATATATATTTGTTCAACCTTGTATAGGTTTCGTCCAAGACAAGAAAAAGGAGAAAAAAGAGAGTACGACACACTCGCAAAGATCAACCGTTGACACAAGTGCCGTTCACACGTAGGAGTAGCTGAAAGGAAAAACAAAGAAATTCACTTGAGTTGAACTTTGACGACCCTATGAATAATGATTCTTCCTTCTTTTTCAAATTGTAATATGCTTCTGTGCATCGACGGACGATTTCTTTTCCTAAAAGAAAGGTTTGTGTTTTGCTTTCGAAAAAGAATTTTTTCGAGAGATTGTGGCTTATCGCGAAAACAACAAAGCCGCTACTGTTGACGTCATTTTTCAGATGCGAAAAGACGAAAATATGTTTAGAAATATGATTGATCACGGTCTCGACGAGGTTTCAAATGACTATCGTATGCATGGAAATATTTGTTGATGAAGAAAACGCAAATACGTTTATATTCGAGATTGACTGACAGATTCGTTTGTTGTTGTTGTTGTTACTGATGTTCTTATTTTCATACAGGGGAATAGTAGGTCATGTGTTTTGAAATGATAAAATCAAATAAAACTTTGATGGAGGAAAAGAGAGAAAGAAACGTTTGCAGAATTGTTTTTTTTCTCTTCTATTTCAAGCAGCTTTTACGCCCAAGAGAAAATTTTGCTTTCACTTTTGTTTGTATCTTCATATGAAAAAGATTGTCAAATGCAATGAATTACTTCTAGACAAAACAAATCAATTAATGCGTAACTTCGACATACGATACAACCGATACAAGAAAAAAGAGCGATGTACATAACTTTCGAATATCTATTTGATATAAATCAGCTTAGCAACCACAATTCCGTCTTTTGTTTGTCGAAATGTCTAACTATATTCTAATCAATCCTGTGAATTTTAGTGTTGACATTGACTTCTCCGGATTTTAGTCAAGCGATCAGTACTATAAGACAGACTTTTTCTGTTTAGCGCTTTTCTTATGTAATTATTCGATACACTTTTGTTCAGATGTATGAAACTAAAAGATTTTTCAAACTCGGTGGAAAAGAACACGAATTAACTTCTAATTGTTAAGATTAGAACGGAATATTTATTTTGACAATAACATAAAAGTTCCATAAAAAACACACAAATATAATCTGCGGTCTTCTGTTGATCTAAACTTATGCATCAAATCGTTTTACACATAAGAAAAAAAAGAAATCTGTGTTTATTTAAGTTCACCAGGAATTCGATCGAATCGAACTTTATTTTTCTTTCCAATCTCAACTTCATTCAGAAAATGTTCGATACATTTGAATAAAATCTCCTCGATAAACACGAATAACATTTTCTATTAGATTGAAATCTGTGTTGTTCATCGATAGAATGTTTATTTTGAAAATCAGAAAAGTTTCATCAAAATATACAATCATTATCTAATGTTCTAATTCTCTATTCACAAACGTCAAAGAGTAAAAAGAAAAACAAACTCATACATCGAATTTTTTTACATAGAAAAATAAACTTGTGTTTGTTTGAGTTCATCAAAAATATCATTCAATCGAACTTGAGTTTTCTTGCCAAATAAAAACGTAAATGCTGTTCGATTATCGTTCAAAAATGAGCCAATTTTGTGATAATTCGCCACGATGATTTCTTCGTTTTTACTGATTGGTACATAACTAAATAAGAAGATTGTTTTACCACAGACAAACCTAAGCAAACCCATTCGATTTTAAACAAAGAGTTGCAAGAAAAGATTCATCATACCACAAACAATTCGATTTCTGTTGAGAATCATGTGCAAGTCGGAAAACAGACGCATGTGGCCACCAGCCAACTAAATTTTTCGTTCGAAAAGGATTCATCTCTTGAGTTTTGCGTAACAAACTCAACGGAATCGCTGTTGGATAAGTTCTAGTCATGTAAGAAAACATTCAAAAACAGAGAAAAAGTCAAATAAGTAACAAACTCATGTTCATCACGAACAGCATCAGTTTCATTTTCAAACCATTGATGAATAAGTGGCATCATTCGTATCAAATCGAACTCTTTTGGAGTTGGTGCCATAGCTAAATGTTTTTCCAGTTCGTTCAATAATCGTTCTTGTTCATTGTCGCCTGATTTAACATAAACAAATGCATTCTGTACAAGAAGTAATGTTCCAGTTGGAATGGCACATTTAGCATAAGTTTGGTCACGTCGTTTTTTGATCAATGATGTGTTATCGAAGTTGGAATGGAATGTTTCAAAATCAAAAACAGTTTTTTGATCGAAATATTGCTGATGAAACATCTTTTTCACATCGTAAATCCCATGTGCACATTCGTCCTTTATGCGAGTCAAATTTGAGTTCAGTTGATCAAAATCCGGTGCGTATTTCCAACGTAATTGAGGATGAATGTTATCCGTTTCAGTAAGGGCAAGTAGTTGAAGAATTCGAAACGAAAAATCTTCTAATACAATGTTTGAACAGATTAATCGATACAGACATTTAAGAAACAAATCATCCGATGTGTTAGTAATAAATTTGCCAGTAACAACAACAGCAGAATCTGTACTTGCACCGGAATAAAGACGTTGACGTAGATAACACGCTGAACGGTTTGCATGTAATCGAGCAAGATCATTTTGAAATGCATTTTGAAACAAATTCAATTCATAATCATCATCTAAATTTCAATTTTTTAGTTAAAATTGGTAAATAAGATAATTTTTCACCTTTTGCCATTGTCATTCCAGCCATCGTGATGATTCGATTGATAGCATATGTATAATAATCAACGGCAAGTTGTAAATCGCCACGAATGTAAGCTTGATTACCACGTTCACGTAAATCATCGAGCTTATCGAGAACAAAACATTTTTTAATTCGGTCACATAAAATCAGGTCAATATTTGGTGAATTACAGTGAAGAGTTACTTGATTATCAATCGAACAATGAGTCAAAAGTGGATCGTGTAATTTAATCATGCTACCGATCGGTAAAAGCTCATCGAGAATGCGTAATCGAGATTCCATTGATTTCACTTCATTTGTTATGACGAAATACGACCAATTGTTAATCACTAAACGAATGTGACGATCGAATTTATCACGAACAACCATATAAATGATTCCATCAATCATATTTGTGAGCTTTGCTTGTGTTACTATCCATAATGATAATTGACAATTTTCAGCAAGTTGATGAAGCTTCATATCGATTAATGAGATGTCTTTTCGTTGGTGGTCATCGCAATGATTTTGATGTTCAATTGAATCACCTAGAATTGAACGGGTCAGCACTGGTCGATCGGTTTCGTCTTTATCACGATGTTCTTCATCGAAAAATTGTAACTGTTTTTCCTTGATCATTGAGGATACAATTTGCTCATGAAATGATTCATGGGTCTTTAAAACAAAATCAGCTGAATAGTTTATTGGTATATTTATATTTGTGCTAGAAAAAAAAGGAACAGTTTAATCTTCGACTGAAAAAGATGATTACCGGTGTGTAAAGAAGAACAGGTATTCTTCAATTGATATTGCGTTTTTACAACGTGAACATTCCATGATGGAGTGGATAAACGCTTCTTACACTGGCTATTTCAGTAATGGATATGAAGAGAAGACCACGTTGGATGCAAAGATATATATGTATATTCGAATCATAACGGAGAAAGGAAAGTCGTTACATGAATCATGCACAGAGTGAATTCGATTTGATTCGTTGTTGTATACTATGATCACAAGTGAAATCAAATATAAGTATCTTTTGATTTATCAGAGTTAATTACACAATTTAACCTTTGCAAGGCCGGTTTTAGAATATAGTTGATTAATCCGTGATCCATCGCACTTCGATAGATGAATTCGTCTTTTAGCTCTCTCATTTTCCACAGTTCATGAACTATTTCAAAGACCAATTTTTTATCTCGAGATTTCTGCTGAAACAAATACAAATTCAGTTATTTTTTATGAGCACTATTTCTGTTCAGACCATGTTTCATCAGATAACTACGACTTAACTCGTGATCAATATAAGATTTGGAATTAGTATTAAAAACTAAGTCTATTAACACATGTTTCGAAAATAATTATGGAGAAATTATTTTTAAGTAGCTTAGTGATTTCTTGAGGGGACATTCTGATCTATAAAGTTCGAACTCGACTAAGATATTGACGAGACTGAGCTGTGCACCGAACTTCATCTCAATCTACCTCTTGTTTGGAGAAATATCATGTGAATGGTCGGCTAGACGTGCTGATCGATTTCAATAATCTATGTACTTTTCAAGTATATTGAAAACAATTAATAAACAACAAAAGTATTCAAAAGTAGTCATTACATGAGCATTGACCATTTCTATGAAAGTGATGAATTCGATTTGCATCTCGGACTATTATTTCACATTGACGAATCGCTGCGATCAACTTTGTCGCTTGATCTAAAACACAAATTCATCAAATGAATCACTCACAACAAACACCAAATCAACACTTACGACAATCGCCACACACTCTCAAGTTCTTCGTGATTTGAATTCGTTTCGCTTGAGGATTAGCCACGAAATTCCATGCCATCGCAAGTCGCTCACTATGACCACAGAGAACCGATTCGACACTTTCATCTTCACCCATCGTTCGAGTTATCCAACTGGAATCGTACTCATGGCCATGTGCGACTAATTCTTCTGACATTTTCTGCACTTCGCGATAGATTTCGTCTGATCGAGGATGAGATGTGTCATGAGCGCGAAATTCCTACAATCGAATTATTCCATATTGCTTCAAGAAAGAAACTATAAGTTGCGTTCAAACTTACATAAATTTCTCCATCAACTACAGTCGTTGATGTACCGATCTTCTTCTTGGCTCCGGATTTGCTCTGTTGAGTTCGAATATGTGATGCCTTTTCAATGTCACCAGACGATGCATAAGTGTTTGCAAGAAGAACTTCAGCTGCTGTCAAGGGATTTTTCATAATTGGAAACAATTTCTTCATTCGATCATAGATATTCTGTGCTAACTGAGCATTCTTATCATTTCTTGCACCCGACAACAATGCCACTAAAATGAAGAAAAAGAAACAAGACCAATGTGTTGATACCATTCACACTGTTGCCGTTCACCGAGGACTCATCTCAGATGATGACACTTACTGTGCATAGTTATCACGGGTGGATGCGAACGTTCGAATTCATCGATCAACGTCTGTGCTTCATCGAACAAAGATGCACGAGCAAGGCAATCAATCTAGATGAAAAGCGGAAGTAATTATGAAGAAATACTTTCGTTTTGAATTGACTCATATTTTAAGACTGAAATGACCTAGGGCTACAAGCTCTATCACAACGAAATATTTAATAGTTCGAAAATTTGTTTGGAACAAGCGAAACTGTTTGAAAAGACTCAAGTATTTAAAGTTAGACGAAATCTTTGTCAAACTCCAATCATTTTTATATACCATAGTCGTCTTAATTTGCAGTGTTTTCTCTTCAATACTTCGAAAAATTGAACGAGCTTCATTGACAAGACCAGAATGCGAACATGCATTCAATATGCAAATAAAAGCTACTTCGTCAATAAATTTCTTCGGCACCTTGAAGAAAAGTTCGAGAGCCTGTATACCCATTCCATTTAACCCATAACAATTTACTAAATGTGAGTTTTTTTATGACAATTGTCGTTTGAAAGAAAAACGAAGAATACAAACTCATGGCAGTGTACGTAAATTCATTTGATTCAAAACACTTCTCAAACGTTTCCTTTGCTTTGTCTACACATCCAATTTTACCCTGTAAACAAAGATGTTGAGATTAAAATAAAGAAAAAACGTTCTACTTCTCACCCACATATCAATCAAAGCATTCTGAAGCTGACTATCACGAAATAATAAATCAGGAGCTTGTTCTATGATAGACTCAGCTAATGAATAATCACCGATGATTGTCAAAGCTTTGATAACACAAAGATAAATAATCAGATTCGGTTCGAAACCTTCACTTTTCATTTGATACAACAATTTCATTGTTTTTCTCCCTTGTTTTTCGTTGTTGAATCCATCCATTAGATTTCCATAAGCGATCGCTGATCTTCTCATTTTCGAGAAAACGATCTCTGCAGTGGACATGTCTCCACATTTGATCAATGCATCCAATAAAGAAGTGGTCACATATTCATTTGAAAAAAGAAATGTTGGTAAGTTTTTATAAACGTTTTTTGTCAGATCGAGTGCCTCTTTTGTTCGTAGATGAGCACAAGCGTTAAATAAAAGATTTATAATGATGTCATCAGGAGATTCGATCTGTTTGAAAAGAGCAACAGCTTTTTCTGCTTGATTACTTGCGATATAACCTGAGAAAAAGCCGAATAGAACGTACACGGATACAAAATATATATACCTTTCATCATCGCACCGTACATAGGAAGTGACTTTGCTTTTATTGTGTCGAATATTTTCTCAGCGTGTGCTATATCTCCACATTCCACCAATGCATTTAATAACGATGTAACAAGACGATGATTTGAGTGAAAAGACTTTCGTGTTTGCTGTAACACCTTTTTCATGGCGTCCAATGCTCGTTGGGTCTTCAGATCTGCACAAACTTGGAAGAATACAATAAGATTCACCTCACTCGGAGTTTTGATTTGATGAAAAATTTCGAATGCTCTCTCTGCTTCATTGTTTTTCAGATATCCTACAAGATGTCGTTCTAATTTACACTTTCTTGCACATGAAACAAATCACCTTTCATCATCGCACCGTACATAGATGGATCCTTTGTATCCGTATTATCGAACAGTGTTTTAGCACTTCGAATATCATCACATTGCACTATGAAAAGCAAAAGACATGCGATGGAGGATAGATTGATGAAACTCACTATACATATGGATGAGTGATGTTACTATGTATTGATCATCTTTGGTGCGTGAAGAAACAAGATCATGAATCGCTTTACCACTTCGAATATCTTTCAGATGGGCACATGCTTTCAGAGCTTGTGTAATCGAAAAACTTGACAGAGTTCCGTTATTGTTTTTTTGATGTTGATGAAACAGTTGAAGTGTCCGTTGGAATTGTTTGCTATCGTTCATCGTCTTCAATCGATCGCCCAAGCTAGAAACACATCTGATAGTTGCTGATCGTGTGATGGCAACTGTAAAGAGTGATAAATTGTGTCTGAATGATCTGGTCAACATGAACCACATTCTTTTAAACTAAGTTGATATGGAAACTAAGGAGATATGAGATGTCATAGAATAAGCAATGAATAAGTTTGGGAGAAGATCGACGAAAAGAATAGACATTAGTAAAACGAAACTACCGTTGAAGACGTCGAAGAAGAAACTGTCCGGCTTGATCATTGGCCAAAGAACGTTGCATGAACTGATACGTGTAGATGGCGTTAAAGTTCATTGGACGTAGCAATCAAAGTGCTTTGACCAGAGGACTGTCGTTGACGAAATTAAGCAGGTATTAGCGAATCTTTTCATAAAGACTTTTTTCATGACAGTGTTATTCCAATATGCTCACTTCACATTTGTATCGATGGCATTTTCTTCCTTTCCTTTATGGAAATACTAGTGATTTTGTAGCATTGTGATTGCATGAGCAATATCTTAGTAAACACGAATATTTTCTGAAAATATACTCAGAATACAAATAGTTTATATTATGCTAAGCATTATGAGAAGGAATTTTTTTTCTTCTAAGTCTCATATCGACCCAGGTTATTATAGCACGGTCGGTTCCGGCCGGTTAGGTTCGTTTTCCGACCGTTTCCTGCAAACTTCGAGCTGGAAACGGCCAGGAACTGATCGGATATTTCCTGTGCAATTCCGGCGGCAAGGAACCTGCCGGAATCAGCGAAAACTGTGCCAGAACCGACTCAGATTTCAACGGATCCAGTCGCCGGAATGATCGACCTGGGTAGGCCTAAAGGCACATATGGTGCTCCGTATATCAGGGCGATCTAGAATGCGGTGAATAGATTGGCTAAAGTGTACGCAAATGCCGTTGTGGGAAGATCCGTGTGCCACTTGTGTACAGCAGGGAAAGCGTAAATATGATAACCGAATAAAATGAGTAAAACCACCGTTAGGGAACGAACATCTAATTTGCTTTCATCGGGTTGCATTGTGCTAAAATAAAAATTCTTCGTTGGTCTTATTCACGCATAAAACTACCTCTCGAAAGTAATTCCCTTTTCCGGGTCCACAGGTGTTGTAAGGAATTGCTGCAACTGATCACAATCAAGGACTGTTTTTTCTCGTTCTAGTTTGTGTATGAACAATTGCTCGTGACAGAAGACCTGCGTCATCACAAGACACTATGGCAAGTATATACCGCTAGTGATTCAACTGAATCGGTCTCATCTCTTGTTTTTATTTACAGTAACAACGATCGGGTGTGCGAAAGGATTGCTTTGATCGGCACAAATGCTCGCGAAAGCAACGAGTAGTGTTTACTGAAAACGCTGTGTCGTTGGTTTTTCCACGCAGAGTGGTCGTGCATGCATTGCTATGAAATGTAGCTGTCAATGAGAATTTATCTGTTTGATGGGAGGAGTAAACGGATGTTTCTTCGATTTTGCTGTTGATGGTTATAGTAGAGAACAATATAAACCGTACTAAATGATATCGATGATGATGTGGGATTTAGTATGTGAGTCTCGACTTCAGGGATGCGAACAAATCGTCATACACTCACAATGAAAATAATAATCCCACCTACCATGTGATAATGTGTGAGGAGGGCGAGCCAAGATGAGGATATTCCAGTTTATTCTGAGAAGAAAAAACGATGATAACAATGAGAAAAAGAAAATCAACTGCAACAGAAAACGAGAAAAACAACTCTCTATATAGATGAAAGTCTATATGCGTCTAGACAAAAACGAAATCTAACGACGCAATAAAGAAAAAAGAAAACAAAGGTCATCATGAGTACATCATGATGGGCAATCCACCATACATATATCACAGAAACGAAAACTGTATATATGTAAGGAATGGAAAGATCACTAATAAGAGGAACGAAACGAAAAGAAAAGGAAAACAAAGAAAAACATATATCATAGTTAGTGTCATGGAACGATGACGCTAACATAGTAGTAATTCTCATCTTTTTTTCGGCGTTTTAGTTTGATGGTTCTGGCAGAATCGTGCATCGATTTTGTTGACAATGCTGAGCGGGAGTAAGAAATGTGATTTCGTGAAGATACTTTTCTCGGTAGTATGAAATGTTCCAAAGAGCGCGTAAGGTGAATGATGTAGATAGTAAGTCTGGGGCTTACCAGAATACTAAGTGGTTAAATGCGGCGCACAATATGCAGTTTTCGGTTTTCTTTTTACGGCTGTCTACATGAGATGTATAGAAATTGATGTTCGCTTACTTGTTGATGTTGGTGTTCGATTCGGACTCTATCTGAATTTCATTCGACGTTTGAACCGAAGTTCGTCGCGACATTCTAAAAAAAGTCTGCAGTGAATTGCATGTATGGATTATGCGGTGGAAGTTTTGATTAGAATGAGATAGATCTTCAGTTAGATTTAGAAGTATGATTTTGGTTCGGAAACTGTCTCAGTATCTTATGCTTAGCAGATTTTATACGAGCTGTTTTCTTGTTGCGTTTTAACCAAATGTTGATTGTTTCTGAACGGCAGATGATTCATCTGAGGGTGTGAAGGTGAGGGTGAGGGTGTGGGTGAGGGTGTGGGTGTGGGGTGTGGGTGTGGGTGTGAGGGTGTGGGTGTGAGGGTGTGGGTGGGTGAGGGTGTGGGTGGGTGAGGGTGGTAAAGATGATATTCTTCTCTACATCCAATCCATCATCCTTTATTTTAACAGTTACGATAAATTGACTAGCAGTAATGAACGAGCAGATGGGGAGACAATTAAAAAAGATTTAATAAACATCAGTCTGTAATGCACTCGAATAAAAAAGTGAAGTTATTTTGTTATACTTGTAGTTTGAGAGAAACTTTCACCGCGTCTCAAGCATAGAAACAACAGGTAAATTCTGTCACGATCAATACTCATAGAAAATACTTCTGTTCTCTACAGTTGAGGATAAAATGAATTGAACCGACGAACGTTACTTATTTTATAATATCCTTGAAAATGACTGAGGATTGACAAAACACATTAATTAGGAAAAAAGAAATGTGTCTTGCTAGTTTTTAATTATTTTTTACACGCAATATTTTCCACCTTCACCCACACCCAGATTTTTAAAAATTCTTTGGAAACCCTGTTCCGATTATAGTATAGTTTGTTTAGAATTCTCTTGTACAATGTATCATATAAATGGAAATATCCATTGACAAAGAAATTAAAGAAAAATATAAGAATATATCGAATAACGATCATCTGAATGTATTTCATCTTATTGGTGAGTGTTACAGAAAAAATGCAGTGGTATAAAATCATAGATCAAATTATATATAAAGACATGATACTTTAATAAACGTGTTTGAAATTATTTAACTTCTGTCTATTCTACGTGTTTTATCTAAACTGATAAAATAAAACTATTGATTGATTTCATCATCATTAGTATTATCATGCTTAAATCATTAAAAAAATATAAAAATGTCGGATTGTTGAGTTCTATGAATGATTTTCTTCTAGAAAAACCTTGAGAATGTGTACATGTAGGTGTTGATCACGAGTCTAATCTATATTCATCTTCAAGATATTGTTAATTTTATATTCGAAATGAATGTGATGTTGATAATGATCGATCAAGTTTTATTCAATACGAAACAGATTAACAAACTGTATTTGATAGAATTATAATACGTAGAAGATTTTTATCGATATCACTAGAATGATTTATCAACAAGTATTATAATGTAGCAAGCCAAAGTAAGAAAATAAACACTTATTTTTAATCTAAAAATATCATTATATAATTAAATATTCGAATAAACGATGTTATTTTCATCTCAATATTTAATCAAAATCTTTGTTTTATTCTCAAAGAAATATCATATAAATTATGGTAAGGGTGTGGATATGAGTGTGCGAGTACTGGATACGTGTCTACATCCATACTCCACTATGAATAGTAATAAGAAAAAATAAATAACAATTATCCCAGGTCGATCATTCTGGCGACTGGATCCGTGGAAATCTAAGTCGATTCCGGTACAACTCTTCTCGATTCCGGCAAGTTCCTGACCGTTTCCAGCTCGAAGTTTGCAGGAAACGGTCGGAAAACGAACCTAACCGGCCGGAACCGACCGTGCCATAATAACCTGGGCGCAATTTGATTTATATTATTATTTCGGTGAACAACGACATTTGTGAGCTCTCTATATCCAAATCAAATCCAGCATCAAGGAAAAGGAGAGACTCAACGAGAATAACTATGTTTATTCGAGTTGAAAGAGCAAGTGACTCCCCAACGAAAAGAAAAACAAAACGAAAAGGGAAAGAATGTTATCTGCAATAACATTCTTTCAAAATGGAAGAGAAGAGCGATACGTGATCGCTAACAACATTGATATTGCACTCGCCGGTTGTATTCGGCGCAGAGCTGGGCAACTAAATTCTAAAAACGACCAACTCAACTCGATTCAACTCGAATTGTGAGTTGAATTGAATTGAGTTAGAATTTTTTGAAGCATCACGTAGTTGAGTTGAGTTGCTCAGCTCTGATTCGGCGATTTTGTGTACAGATTAATCGCAGCATTCATCAATTTGATATTCTTGATCATCTTGCTGTATGTAGATGAATCATGAATGTCGTTTTCCTTGATTATATTTTCAATAACACTTTGTTTATTCTCAACATCGTTTGATTTGTTCACACCACCAAGAATGAAAACGGATCTACATATGAAAAAATACACGGTCAACAGGTAAGTGAAATCAATTCCCTTTCAATTTCATGTGTCACAGATAGAAGGTTCTTGTTTCCATTTCAAAGTGTAATTTACTTGTCTCAATCCGATTAATCAATTTGTATCAGTGAAAAGATATTGATCTTCCTTCAAGCCTTATATATGTATGTTGTGCGAGCAAGTGAAAGTTTTCTTGAATTAATCTGCTGATATCTCAACTCCTCTAGCAATTTTTAATCGCAATCTAATGAAATAACATTTGTTCGCAGACAATCTCCTTTATAAACGCGATCAAATATGAGGGCTCGTCGGTCCCCTATTTTAAATAAGATTTCCGGTACTACTTACGAAATCGTTGCGTTGGTGTGATTGATATCATCGATATGTGATGCCACATATTGCAAACATCTTTTCATACTGTTGTTACTCAGCGGCTGTGGAAAAGAGTTGCGATGTTCGATAAAAATGTTGTTGTTTTCGTGAAAAAAAACGATAACAGCAACACAGGTGTTAGCACCAGTACTGGCTAAACTACCTGCCACGGAATTGTACTTATCCATTCCGACATTGCGAATCTTTTTCGTTGTATTAGCACTGTTGGCCATTATTTCTGCTTAGTTGTAAAAGCACTATGAATTATATCGAATGCGCAGTTAAACTGTAAGTTCACGAACAAAGAAAAATCGTTCGCTAAATGACTAATACGTCATTTTCTGTTCTACGATATGTATCATATCGAGGTTTTCACTTCAACAGCATGTTTGTTTTTATTCAACTTTAACCCCGACAAAGATACTAGTTGTAACATCATCCAAGCCGCTTTGTAGAGTGAGTGCAAAGATCGAATAGCAACATCTTGACTGAAATTATGTGAACGATATCATACACAAAAATATCAAGCTTCTCAAAGTTATTCAGCAAGATTTGCTAAATTAATTATAATATGAAGGACTCTCTCCTGTTTGGAATGTGAAAGCAATACGTCGTTGACTATCACAGCAAATCGTTCGTATGGAATGTTATTCACTTGAAAGACTTTGCAAGCAAAGATAACTTCGTTTAAAAGTTCGTTTTATTGTTCATAGAGAAAAGAAAAGAAACATTAGTTTATTAATAACAGGATAAGACGCATTTCAATCTTCGACAAGTACAACTTCACTTGTTTGTGTGTTATCATCCACTTCTGTCAATTCTTCATCAGGTCCAAACTAAACATAAAATTAATGAGATCAACAGTATCGAATGTTCTTTTAACTTACGAAGTATTCGACGAGTGATGGTTTATCTTTTTCAGTGTAAATCAAAAATTGAGCACATAGAATACCAGCAGCGTCAATACGTAGCGAAAGTTTACTTGCAATTGATAACGCTCGAACAATGTACTGAAAAAACTGAGTTTTGTATCTACATGAAAAAATATCAATCGCTTTGAAGTTAGAAATACACGATAGAACATTTACCGAT